ATCTGTACAAGATCCCCCCAGCTAGATCCTGCTGTCTCTTGGTTGATGTAGTTTCTCATCAGTGCTTGTGCCTGCACAGGAGTGGTTGAGTGTTGAGTGCTGCAGCACCACAACAGGGTCCCATTCTTGAGATACAAAAACCCACTATACAGGTCCATGAGCAACCTGATCTGGCTTTGGTGATCGGGTCAAGTGATCTTCCACATCTCCATGGTGAAGTTTGGCTAGCTGGCTTAAAAACTGTTGAGGAACCAAGAGCTTAGGTCTGAATGCAGGGAGTCTATAAGATGCCCTCTCCCACCTCTGAATGCAGGGCAGGGTGTGGGGCTTAATGGGCACCTGGGCTTGCATATGTGCAAACTATAAGCAAACTTGTACTGATATTGGTGAAGATGCAGTTCAGACCTGGCGGTGGTGAAGATGGGGTAAATGGAGGAGCTTGGTGCTATTTTTCAATGTACAGTGTGGCCCTAGTGAGACTCAGCGATCTCGGTCACCAGCAGGGAGTGAGCTGCCTTGGTTCACTTGGCAGATGGATGCAGGAGTGTCTGGGTCAGACGGGGTCTTCTGCCAAGTGGAGTCCCCCAGGATCATGGGCTGAGTCTCAGGAGATCCTGAGGGGACTGTGTCCAACTGTCTCCCCTCTTCTTCACCAGTGCGAGTTTGAGGATCCCAGGTAGCAGCACCACTATTGGGGAGAAGCTGGAAAAGTACACCTCAGCAGTGCAGGTACCAAAAACCCTTGGCATAGCTGGACTGGCATGGGGGGGATGTGTGAGGAGAGGGAGAGGGGTGGCCTGGATCTGAGCAAGGAAGGGAGAGAGGAACTGAGCTACACTGAACAACCAGTGCTAACAGAGTTGAAAAAAATGGTCCCAGCCAGCAAAAGGGATTGGCCTTAGGGTTTTAGAAGGGATGGGGTTATCCCTTGGAGAGGATCATGGGGGTGCTGCATGGCCATGCTGGGGGAGCAGTGGGGCAATCCCATGAGCTGGTGATGGGCAGGGAGGGAGCAGATCCCAACAGGCTCGGGACATGAGCCAAAAGCAGGACTTTGCTTTTTACTACTGCTTGGGGTGCGACACGGCCCCTGCTAATGCCCCTTTCTCCTCCCAGCGCTCAGAGGGGGTGAAATCATCCCTGACTATTCAGAAGAGCCTCTTGCTGTCCTCAGAGGGGGTGGCCAGCAAGCGCAACTTCTTCGAGGCGAGTGCTCCCAGCAAGGCTGAGTCACTGGCTGTCAGGAAGGTAAGGGCAGGAGCTGGCCTGAGCAAGGACCTTCCAGCAGGATCCTGTGCCGGGCGAGGCAGCAGCTTTTTTAGACAAATCTTTCCCTGTTTGGACACCACACACAGCCCAGAAGGCTGCTGCCTGGATGCAGTTTGGTGGGAGTTTGGTCCTTGCTGAGCGGTGCCAGGCAGGGCTGGACTTGGGCACCAGCTGCCTCCAAAACTGCGCCCTGCAGTGTGTGGGTTCATGGCGATGGGCTGGTATTTGAGGAGCTGGGAAGGGGCCAAGGTGTAGGCTGGTCCCTGCCTTTTGCAGATTTTCTCAGTCTCCCCATGCCCTGGGGGCTGTCTCGGGTTATATTCGTACGGTGGAAGAGCTGGTGCTGTAACCCTGGTGTCGCTCCCTGTGCCACAGGACAATCTGAAGATCCCGGGATCGGTGACATCCCGCATTAATCTGTGGATCAGCCGAACTCAGGAACCTGCCAAGGAGGAAAAGAGCAAGGTACCATCTGGGCTGGAGACCTGAGACTGGGCAACCTGGTGGGACATGTACCTGCACCTGGGGTCGTGGGGATGAAGGGTTCATGAACCCTTGGCTGAACCCACTGAAGGGTTTGAGAGGAGCTTAGCCAGGGTTGGAGGTTTGGGTGCTGCAGGGCCACCATGGCAAGATGTCAGGTCTCTACTTGTTACTGTGCTGTGATCCTGATCCCAAAGTGCCCAAGGCAGCTGCTCCCAGCCCTTGGTGGGGTGAGAAGGGAGCAGGCACCAGCTGGGTGCGTGTCCCAGGGGACATGCAGGGGGACCTGACCCTCCCATCAGTGAGAGAGATCACCCCAGCATGATCCCATCTCTGCCAGTGTCTGGAGGACTATCTCTGACCTGGAGGCCAGTGGGAGATGAGCCATGTGCTCAGTCCTTCGGCACTGGGCTCTGCAGGGCTTGGAGAACTGTGTGTGCACTGAGAGGTCCTGCTGCATGTGGTGTCTGGAGTGATCTGCATCCCTGAATGTATCCCAGCCCCCAAAATGAGGGTGTCTTGTAGCTGTGGGGTCAAAGTGCCCAGCTAAGGGGACTCGGAGGGCAGCACTTTGCCACCGTGGCTACTCCAGGGACAAGGATGCAAGGGGGATGGACAGGAGACCATTTGGTCTCCGAGTACGTGAAAAGGAGAGGTTCAGCAGGTCCTGGGGACGTATCACTGTTTACAGCAATAAGGTGTTTTGCCACTGCTCATAGCAGAGTCTCCTGGAGCAGCCTGGGTACAGGACCAGGAGGGGCAGGTCCAGCCCAGCCCTGCAGCCCCGGCAGGCAAGCCTGGGCACCCCCTGCACTGAGCTGCAGAGATTAGCACTGCCCAAACGTGTCTGTACTGGGAGGGTGTGCTGGCTCTGTGTCTGACAGGAAAGGGTTTGCTCCTGGGGTCACTCTTGGGTAAAGTTTGCAGCTCCTTTATCAGTTTTTCCTATAATAATACCGTCTGCCATCCACCTCTGTGGGCTGGAGCTGCACTTGGTTTTGAGGGTCCACCAGGTGAGGGATCTCAAAGCTGGCTGGTTTCACCTGGAGCACGTACGCTGCAAGGTTTGGTTAAAGTCAGACCAAGGCAACATGGAACTTGAGGCATGGGGAAAACTTTCTCGTGCCGCTTATGAGTCTCTTGTTTGCAGGACATCAGGAAAATAAACAGCCTGCCAAACCGTGATGTCTGGGTAAAGCAGCCTGGAGGCACCCCTGGAGACACCAAGGTAGACACAGAGCTGCTTTGAAAAGTGGTGCATCCTCTGAGCTAAGGGCAGAGCTGGGACCTGCCCACTGGTGCATCACTCACAGGGCAGGTGTGGGAGAACCAGGCTCTGGAGGGGAGAGGGGCGTGGAACATCCAGGACCCCATGACTTGGGAGAGTCAGCAGGAGGGGACAACTGGAGGCAGCTGTGAGGGTGAGAAGGGCTCTGCTTTGAAAGAGGAGGGAAGTGTCATGTGGTGGGATTTAGGGGATGCTTGCCTGTCGTATACCCTGTTCAGGACACGTATGATCCCGGATAAAGTAGCTGCCTTTGGGGGTTTGCAGCCTCAGGCCCAGCCTCACTGTTTCTCACTTTCTTTTCCAGTTGTAATAATATCGGTTGTAATAATATCAGATGATCTGGGGAAAAGTGTTTTGCTCTGAAGACCAAAGCCCAGCCCTATGCAACCATCCAGCAGCCCACTGCCATGAGCATCTCCCGTGCCATGTGTAGGAGCACTCCAGGTTGCCAGGGTCTTCTGCTTGTGGGATTGGAAGGAAGAAGACTGGAAGATTATCCAGGTGCCCTCAGTCCTCACTCACCGCCTGCCTGGGAGCGCCCAGGCCTGGAGACTCCTTGCAATGCTGAAGGCAGACTCTTGCCTCATTTCCCCAACTTGTTTTGATGTTTTGTTCCTAGTGTCTGGCTGTGCTCCATAACTGCTTGCAAAGAGGATCAGTCTCCTTTGCAACTGGATCATGTCAGTGGGGCAAGATGCTGCCTGGCCAAGGGAGTTTCAGCTGCACGTCCATGGACCATGTCCATCCCTGCTGCCTGGCTCGTGTGGGGTGAGGTGGAGCAGGCAGATGTCACCCCCCCTCCTAGGCTGTCACTGCTGGAGGGACCCAACCAAAGGCAAACGGTGTTTGCAAAGTCACGTGTGTACCACTGTAACTTGGAGATGCCTCATGGAAGACGGGTGGACCTGATGGCTCTGGTGCTTCCCTCCGGCACACACCTGAGCCAGAGCCAAAGACTTGGCCTTCTCCACCTCGCCCTTACTGTTGCCTGCCCCCTACAAGCAGTGACCCCTTCCACTTAGTGATACGGGAAGGGTGGGCTGGCCATGCCCCTGTTTTGGGGGTTGCATGGAGCTGAGAGCCCTGTGCTGGACTCCTTCTGCAAACCCCATTTCCCTCTCACTCTTCCTCCCAAGGCCTTTGCCCTTGGCTGTGTGGACCCTTGGTCCTGCACTCCCTGGGCTGCTGAGCCCACCCAGGAGGGAAGCAGGGTGCTGTCTCAAGGCCAGCTTTAGGGTGCCATGGGCAGCCCATAAAATGATGCTCAGATCCTTCTGCTGGAGCCATTCAGTGGGATCAGGCTGTGCCTTGAGCAACTATTGTGGTGTCCAAATTTGGTGTGGGACTCTATTGCTGCCCCTGAATCTGATCTTGCTTGCTGGGCTTTGGAAAGGACTTAATTTTCTCTGTGCTTTTTTTTTTTTTTTTTTTTTTTTTTTTTTTTTCTCCTTCTTAGATGCTCCGTGTCGTGCTCCTGGCCTGGGGCTGAGAACAGTTTGCTTCCCTTCTTCTGGCAAGAAGAAAAAAGGCAAAAACCTGAGACAAATGTGTCCTGGGGGTGTATGGGGGGTAAGAGCAGCCTGAGACTCTTCTCATTACAGCATCTTGGACCCAGTGCAGTGGCTGAGCGAGCCTGGGCTGGGGGCTGTGATGGAGGGTCCCATCCTCTGATCACGGCAGCGCTGCCTTATCAGTGTCCCTGGCCCTAGAAAGTGACAGCTGGCTGGCTTGTGTCAGCCCCTTGGGCACTCATGTATCTCAGTCAGGAGGGTTTAAAATAGCAAATCTCTGAGGCCACACAATAGCTTGGGCTTATATGGGCTCCTGGGGGGCAGGGGGAGCGGTGGAGGGGGCCAGGGCCGCGGCTGCCAAAATAGCAGCTCACAAGTGTTGCATTCCTCGCTGGGCGCCGGGCACATTCCTCCCGGCGCTGCCCGCCCCGGGGTGGGCGCTGGAGCCCCCTTAAAGCCTCCTGCTCCCAAAGAGCATTTCCCAGACTCCAGCCAGCTTCCCCTCGGCTCCTTGGGATCTCACTGGTACCCCACGGCAGAGGTAAGGCTGAGGAGGCGGGGTGTCTGCTCATGGCGTGGGATGCTCAGTGGAAGGGAAGTGATAAAGACCCAGAAGTGCTTTGGCTCAGGGTTAATGATCTTCCCCAGCCGCTTGCACTGGGATATATTTTTGCCATGAAGGCATTCCCATGGATAAAGCATCAGGACCCTCTCCAGGGGGTTTTATTTGCAACTTGCCCAACGCCTTCTGAACCACCCCAATGTGTCCCAAAGTGGGTGAGAAGGATTTTGGCTGCCCTGGTTCCGGGGAAGTCTCACAGATCCTTGTTCCCTGTGTTTCTGGACAGGACAGGAGGGATGCGATGCCTGGGGGAGAGTTGGGCCAGGCTGGCTCTGGCTCACTGGCAGCCCATAGGGTGGGTTAGAGGTGGGATGCTCCTGTTCATGGTCTAACCCTGCCAAGCAAGAAGGGAGCAGCGTCGTGACCCACACTGGAGCAAATGATGGGAAATGAGAGCTCCATGCCTGGGAAGCCTGGAGGAAAGCAGAGACTGTGAACCATGGAGAATTAACGCAGGCCCAGAGTGTGACCAGCCAGGCCTGAGCTAATGGAGAGGGTTTTTGTGGAGTGGGAGGGATATCTGGAGTATTTAATCCACAGCAAATGACGGGAGATTTTTTTTCAATCAGTAATTCGTGCAGTATTTCCTCTTTATCTCTGTAATACATCTGCTTGACTCTCGTAATTCTTTCAAAACAAGACTTCAAAGCCTTAATGGAAAGGTTTATCTGTTTCTGTGAAGAGGGTGCATAAATATTTCCTAGAGCTATTTTCTGGTGTAACATTAGTTTTTCTTGTGTACTCCCTTAACAGTCCTGGTTTTGCTGCTGTTCCTCAGCAAATGGTCTATGGGATCTAGTGATGTATGAGAGAGGAAATGAAAAGAGATGTAGAAATAAACTTTCACAAATGCATGTTTGCACTGTCATGGCCAGGAGGGAGTCTCCGCTCCCGTGTCATGAGAGAACCATGTGAAGTTTTGGGTGTTCAGAAGCCAAACTCTGGGGGTAGCAGGACCATGCGAAGCCTGGGTGAAAAGAAGGGCCAGGAATTGATGTTCAACAGGGAGCAAAGATTGAGGGGACAGTGCTAGAGGGGTGTTCTTAGGGTCAAGCCCCAGATGCACATTGGGGAAGTGAGTGATGACAGCAGAAGCAGGCGGTGAACCTGAGGCAGACAGTGATGAGTTCTGTCTTAATTTGTCTCCAAAAGCCACCTTCTGAGTCATTGCTCAGAAGTGAGATTTGACAACCCCCATGGGTATGCAGAGGCACCCTTCCTGTAGCGCATCTTTCCCATGCTTGTGGATTCCAGTCCTGGATTCAGCATCTTGAATAAGCAATCCTGAAGCCCGTCCTACCCATCCCGGGTAATGAATGCTCAACAGATGTAGCCAGGACCAGTTGTTCCCAGACACCCAGCAGAAGGAGAAGTGAAGCGGCGCTGCTCTGGGAACAGGTGGTTTAGCACATGGAAGCTATTTCTAGATCTGCTTTGCGTTGTCCTGCTGCATCTCAGCTTTGCTGAGGTCTGGCACGAACACAAGCTGCAGACAGGCTGTGCAGGGGCTTGGGCTGATGCTCAGGGCTGCTCTGGGATGCCCAGGGCTGGGCCTGATCATGGGGCTGGTCTGTGCTGACCTTGCAGCGGAGCATTGGGTGGAAGCTAGATGAGGTGGAACAATGAGCATGATCCTCCTGGCCACAGCTGTGAGGGAGACAGGTATGCTGGGAATACGATCATGGCTGTTTCTGCAGTTATTGGTCCCATTGCTAAACCAGGCTGTGAATTATTCCTTTTAGCTAACCTCAGTCTCAGGGCCAGGACCAGGGAACAAATGCTCCTGCTGAGCCCAGATCATCCCTTTCCAGAGCATGCTCCGTGCTTGGAGGGCTGGGCTGGGAGGTCTCACCAAAACCTCATGCTGTGGCTTGTGCAGGACTGTAAATCTGTGATAACAGGACGTCCCTGCAAGCACCCAACTGAAGCTAAGAATAGTCAGGAAGCAAAACAAGCTGAACATTATAATTGGGTTATTTGCCTGTGCCCTGAGCAAACACAGCACCCTGAGATTGGCTGCGTGTCCCGGACATGGCTCCTGACAGCAGTTATCAGTGTTGCATGAGGCAGTGTCTAATATCCTGCCTTCTATTTGGGGCAAGCTGTGATCCTGGGAGGGAGGGGAGGGGGGAGCCTTATCTCTGTTGAGATAACTTTGGTGAGATGCGGCATTTCTGTGCCTGTGTCTCGGGTGCTGGAGGACAGGCTGTGCTTGTCCTTATCTCAGCTCCTAACCCTTGCTTTTCCCAATCTGCCTTGAATTCTGCTAGATAACCAGGCATGTCGGACTCCGAAGAGGTTGCTGAAGAATATGAGCAGTAAGTGGTGTGGTTTTAAACACCCTTTCTTTCTCCTTATTCCTGTCATCCTGCAGGGTCACAGCATGGTTTAGGGGTGCTGTTCAGGGGGCATGAGATCTCATCATTACCCCAGCACCCCACGTGAAAGGGCCTTGGGATTCCCCCACCCTGTGCCCATCTGCATTGCTGTGGTGATAGTGCTGAGACCCCTAACAGTGGGGAGTTTTGCGTTAGGAGCTGTATCTGCATGTACATGGGAAGGGACATTCCCTGCATTAAAATTGCTGCAGTTCAAATCGGTGAGATAGAGCTGGGAAAAGCTGATATAATGTCTGCTGCTGCTGGTGTCCTACTGCCACATCCAGAGCATCACTCCCCGAGGGCCAAATTTCAGGGCAAATTTTGCTGGTGAGGGCTGCTGGACCATCAGGCATATGCTGAAGAGAAGGGGCTCAATATCTGAGCTATGTGGTTCTAGGCATCAGGCCAGACACAGCTCCTACTTCTCATCCACCAGCAGAAAGTGTAATCTGAATCCTTCTCTTAGTTTGAATGCCACAACAGCTTTGCATGTCTTAGCAATCAGTCTGACCCCACTGTCCAGCATCCTCTGGACACACCTGAGGACAGACTCTGCATCTCCCTCAAGGTCGGGAAGAGACTTTGGGGTAGAGATGGGATGTGAGATGCCCATTTGTAGGATTACAGGCCATGGTCACTTCGTCTCAAGATGCAAAACGGTGTTGTGCTCTGACCACTGTTAAAGTGTCGGTTGAGCACTTCAGCTCCTACTGTCCGCAGCCTCGAGTGTGATCTGGGTCTTGTCCCATCCCCATTGCCACCTTGGGGTGTGCCCCACAGCAGCCTGCCCAGTAGTCATTGCCCATTGCTAGGAAGAAGGGGAGCCACCCTTAAGGCAATTTCAAATTCCCCCTTGCCCTCACTGATGAACACATGCACCCTGTTGCAGAAGATCATTGTAACTGCGAATTTGTGTTGTGCTTTGCAGGGAGCAGGAAGGTAAGGGAGCATGGAGCATCTGCAGCTGCCCCAAGGCTGAAGCTAAGAAATGATCAGAGCAGCCTCAATAACCTACGTCTTTTTCCCTTCCCTCTCTCCTGTCTGCACGTATGCTCTGTGAAGAGGAGTATGTGGAAGAAGGTAGGTGCTCTAGGGCTGGCGATTGCAAGGACCGAGAGACAAATGCTGTTGGTTCAGTATTTTGCTTGGGTGGGTTGTGGTGGTAAGCTCCTTGGCTGCAATGGCAATTCATGACCAGGAAAGGCAGATGAGACCATGTTCTAGATTTCTCCATCTGAAACATCAGTAGAATCAAACCCAGTCTGAATTTTCTTGGGATCTCTTTTGTCAGAGTGATCCCTTGACTCAAAACAGGGATAGAAATGCTGGGCTTGGGCATTGGCAGAGGTGTGAGCTCAATAACTTGACAGGAGCTGGAGCATCAGCTGAATGTATATTAATGATGCTCAAGCACAAACCTCCAACCGCCTCAGTCCAATGAAGAAGCAAACCCCATGGTGCACGAAGCCACCCTGGGACACAGCTGGGCTGTGCATTGGGGCTGGGTTTGGGAGCTGGGTTTTGTTAAGCCTCTTGCTGCTTCAGGTCACTGCCAGGCAGCCTGGGCTGTGACACAGCAAAACATCTTGAACATTGCAAGCAGAGAGAGGTACAAGGGGGAAATCACTGAAGTGCTGGAGTCCTCATCTCATGCACGCCATAGCTATACCTCACAGCTTTATGGCATCCGACTAACCTCTGCACTTATTCCTTTCCCTCCTCCCTGGCTCAGAAGAGGAAGAATGGATAGAGGAAGAAGACGGTAGTTATTGCACCTTTCTTTATTTCATCTCTCCACTGCTGCTGTGAATGTCGTGGGTTGGTGTGTCTTTTGCCTCTCCTTGGTTGGGAAATGGTTTTCTTTCATTCTTCCACTTCTCTCTCTTGCTTTTTGCACTCCTTCCTTCCTTTCTTGCTGCGCTGTACGTATCTGCTCCTGTGTCTGTGGCTTCTCTCTTTTATTTATCAACCAAATGCACTTGTGGTTTTCTATTTTCTTTTTCTTTCCTTCTCTCTTGCTGTGGGACCACAAGTCTTCCCAGGACCGGTGGGCCCCAGCATTGCTCTGACTCCAGTGGAGGATTCTTGTGGGGATACTGCTCCCTCCAGTGGAAAAATGTTCCAACAGTGTCATAAATAAGACTGTGAAGGTGCCAAAGGCACGTTCTCTGATGCCAGAGTCTTTTTCTTTGCTGGCTAGAGGAGAGCAATAGAAATCACACACCCCCCTCCCCGCATCCTGGGTTATAAGAGCATGATAGCATGAGAGGGAATGAGGGACAAACCAGGAGGTGGCTATAAATCCTTTAATTACTTTTTTTTCCCTGTCCAAGCACAGAGAACAGCCCTTGGGTAAAGGTTAGAGCAAAGCCCTTTGCTTTCTGAGCAGGTGCTTCTTTCTCCCGTGGCTCCATCTCCCCCAGGTCTCTCTCAGCCGGCTCCGTGCCACAGTTGTCCCAATACCGGGGTCCACAGGGAGCCAGCGGGAGCGGTGGCTGTGCGACTCACACTGCCCATTATTCCACAGGTCAGGAAGAACAGGTAGAGGAGGTGGAGGAGGAGACAGAAGAAACCAAGGTAGAAGGTGCGTGGTGGCTTTCCCGTTGAGCTCCCATGGCTTGGCTGGAGCCATGCTCCGCTCTCGTGAGGTGCTGAGCAGGGTCTGGGATGTCCCAGCACAGCCTGTGACAGAGGGCCAGTAGCACAGACAGGCAGCTCTCCCCTGTATCTGTAGTTTCCAGTGAGGAAGTGTCAAAACTGAGATGCCCTTTCCTGATCTACTGAGTGCCTTGGCCCTGCAAGCATGAGGATAATGGTGTTTTCTTCCAGTTGCTGACCAAACTGTTTGTGTCCAGCACTGACATAATGCCAAAAATGAGTTAAGCCCATTCCACCAACGTAGCTTAGAGGGGGGATTTCCAGACCTGGGGTCATGCTTTGATGTGTCTCACCATCCAAAGAGCACTGGCCTTCTGGAGACCTATCTGGAGCAGATGGGGTTGCCTGATGTGTGTCCCTGTGCTGTCACGGCCGGTGGGGCAGGCTCAGACCCCAACCATGCTCCCCGAATTAGGGTGCCAGGACCCCTCTGTGCTGGGGGATGTGGCTGCCCTTCCCCACGGATGCTCATGTTTTCCCCATTGCTTTTGAAACAGAACAAGAAGATGAAACGAAAGCACCAGGAGAAGGTAAAGCAGGAGTGGAGGAGAGGCGGCTTTGGCCATTCCAGTTCCCCAAGGCACTGGGCCCTTGTAACAGAGTTTTCAGTATTGAATTTATTTGCTGCTGGAGAGAGAGAATCTGAAGTAAATAGGGCAGAGCTGCCCTAGCCCTGTCCTCTGCCAGGGCTGGGACAGCAGAAGGCCTGCAGGAGGGATGGCTTTGTGCTGCTTAGGTAAGAAATTCACACAAAATACAGGAGAGGGTAGTACTACTGCTTTCCCAGTGTGAACTCTTGCAACGCTTGTCTGGGTTCCTCCTGGAGAAGACCTGGGCCTCTCCTGGTCTGTCTGTGAGGGAGCGATGTCCGTGAGGGACCTGCTCTCTCCCTGGTCATCCTGGAGGGATGGAGCTGGGTTTTGCAGTGGGGATAAGCATGGGGCAGAAAGGAACAGCCTGGCTGAACCACCAAGCTGTGTCTGTGGGCAGGGTGCACAGCAGGGCTGGCCTCTGAGAGCCAAAGCATCGTGTTTTCCACAGGTGGAGAGGGGGACCGAGAGCAGGAGCCTGGGGAAGGTGAAGTATCCATCCCAGTTCCTCTCTGGGGTGGGAGGGACTCTCCTTTTGCCTGTGTAAGGAGGTACCAAATGCCTTTCTGCTCAGCCAGGAGCATCAACATGTGTGTCAGATTTTCACATGCAGATGGACACCTCCCTGTGTGCATCTTTGCTGGAGGATGATCCACAGTGCAGCCTGTGCTGCTGGGAGAGCAGTAGCTTAGCTCAGTGTTGTGGGTTTTGGGTCAAGGTGTGAAAGCAAATGCCTCTGTGACACTAACGTTGTCTTTCTCTCCTGCTCCTGGGGACTCACAGGTGAAACGAAGCCAAAGCCCAAGTAAGTGTTGGTGTGTTTTCGCTGGTGCAAGGTCTGAACTAGGAGCTGTGCCAGGGCAGAGGCTCCATGTGATGGGCTTAGCACCATGATCCACAAAGGGCATGAGGCAGTGAGGCCTCAGAATCATGAAAGCAGGCTGGGGACTAGGACATGGAAATTAAAACTGAGAGAAACAGGCAGACAAACCAAATATGAAGATGATCCTGAGAATGAGGTCTTGAAGCATTTTGTGTGCTCCTTGGAGGAGGCCCAGCTGCCCTGTGGCCCTGCAGCTGGAAGAAATCTGTGGTACAAAGCCTGGGGTACATAGTCCATGGAACAGCCAGCGTCTTGGTGCTCCAGTATGCTCCTGGCCACAGCTGGCATGAGGCAGGCATTTGCCAGCATTCCTGGGATAGGAGCACTTGCCTAAAGGAGGGGGGCCATGAACCACTGCCAGGAACCCGCAGGTCCTCATGTACCCCTGGGATGCTGCAGTCTGAGAGGCAGTTCCCTCCTCAGCTATGGTCTCTTTATCCCTTTGTGTGTCCTTATGTGTCCCTACTGAGCATCTCCTGCCCTCCCTCAAGCCCACAGAGGATGAAAGGATGGTTTCCAGCTCCCCATTCCAGGTCACACTGGAGCACACAGTTCCTCTGTGCTCTTTTGGGTGAGCAGTGGGGTGTCTGCCAGCCCCAGGGAGCCTGGCAAAGGGTCGTGGTCAAGTTGCCTGCAGCTTGCAGAGTTATTCCAGCCATGTGGGCGCCTTGGAGTGCTTCCCAGGAATGCCAGAGGTCTTCCTCTGAGGCTGTCCAGCTGGCACCCTCTAGCAAGCAGCATTACACGTCCCTGTCCTCAAAATGTGCTCGCTCTGCACCCCTGGGGACTGCGAGGCTCAGAGAGGAGGGGTGGGTAGATTAACACATGGATGAAAGGCACCATCCTGTCCCAGGCATCTGCTGCGGGCTCACCATCCTTCTGCTGACTTTCAATTGCAGGGTCTTCATGCCAAACCTGGTGCCTCCCAAAATCCCAGATGGTGAGAGACTGGATTTTGATGTAAGTAGTGCACTCAGTGTCAACCCCTGTGAGGTGATCTCCTTGCATCGCTCCTCCACATGGTGCCCAGCAGCTCCTGGAGGGTTTCACATGTGGGAGTTGTAGCCACTGCTGCTCTGGTGCAGGACATCCACCGCAAGCGCATGGAAAAGGACCTGAATGAACTGCAGGCCCTTATCGAAGCCCACTTCGAGAGCAGGAAGAAGGAGGAAGAGGAGCTCATGTCTCTCAAGGACAGGATTGTATGTCTGCAGCCTTCCCCCTCTTGTTGCCACCCTCTCACCTGTGGGCACACAGCCATGGTCCTTTCCCTGCAGTCCTGACAGTCCTGACAGCAAGACCTGAGACATCCCATGTCCCTGCAAGACAGAGCTTGAGATTTGAGCCAGATCTTGTACCCCAGTGCATGGTACCCCTGGTCTGGCTGCTGCGATGCTGTGGTGCCTAACAGAGGTGCACCTTCCCCCATGGTCACTGTTCCACATGCTCCCTTGGGAGACGTGGGAGGAACAGATCTGCCCTTAGGGCTCTCAGGACTTTTGGGGGTCAGGGATGTGTCCTTAGGGACAGAGAGGATGCAGATTTCCCAGGGTGTTGAAGTCAAGGTCTTATTCTTCTGCAGGAACAGCGGCGAGCGGAGAGGGCAGAGCAGCAGCGGATTCGCAGCGAGAGGGAGAAGGAGCGCCAAGCCCGCATGGCTGTGAGTCTCCCTCTGGGAATGGGAGGCTCAGGCTGGTCTTGGGTAATGCAAGCCTGGCCGAGAGGTCTCTGTTCACTGCTGACCCACTTCTGACCCTGACAGGAGGAAAGAGCTCGCAAAGAGGAAGAGGAGGCCAGGAAGAAGGCTGAGGAGGAGGCACGGAAGAAGAAAGCTTTCTCCAACATGCTGCATTTTGGAGGCTACATGCAGAAGGTGTGAGCCTACCCTGAGCAGTTGCAGTGAAGCTGCTGGTGCTCCTGGGAAGGGCTCAGCCGTGGTCTGGCCTCACTGCGCCATGCGTGTTGTCAGTGTTGTAGACTGTGGTTTCTACACGCAGAAGAATACAGGCCACCACTGTCGGGCCACAGCAGCAATCGGAGAGCCAAAGTGAGCTGGGAGCTCTGCTTTGCAGATGCTGGCCAGGGCAGCCCAGCCTCACCTCAGGGACAGGGATGGGGGTGGGGATTGTCTTGTCCACTATTGCCAAAATTTTCTTGAGGACCTCATGTGATGGGGGCAGAAGCTGAGAGTGTTGGGGGCAGAACTGGGGATAGATAGGGGTAGAGGAAAGGCTGTGCAGATTTCCTTCCCTCCAATGGATTGATGGTTTCCTCAGTCAGAGAAAAAAGGTGGAAAGAAGCAAACAGAGCGGGAAAAGAAGAAGAAGATCCTCAGTGAACGTCGGAAGCCCCTGAACATCGACCACCTCAGCGAAGACAAGCTGAGGTGAGCATGGGCTGCAGCAGGGATGTCCGGGACAGGGGATCTGCTTTGGGTCTCCCAGGGCAGGATCCTGGGCTGGGGCGGGCTGACTGGGGCTTGCAGTCCAGTCAAGAGGGTGATGGCCCAGCTGGGAGACAGGCTGCGACACACCACCGGGGACACGGGCTCCGTGGCTCTGCCAGGCCACCACGGCCAGGCTGCTGCTGACAGCACCGGCCATCAGAGGGAGCCGCGCTCACATGCGTGGGACACGCGTGTCCCCATGCGTCCCGACCTCACCCATGGCTCTGGTCCATGCGTGGGTCTGGCAGCGCACATCCCCGGGTGGGCATGGAGCCTGCAGAGACCCGTCCTGGGGGAGCAGGCGAGATGGTGGCATCGCTGCCCTGTCCCTGCACTGAGCTCCCTGTGAGCCACATCCCTTTTCTGCACTGACACCAGCCGGTTCTTCCCATAGGGACAAGGCCAAGGAGCTATGGCAAACTATCCGTGATCTGGAGGCTGAGAAATTTGACCTGCAGGAAAAGTTCAAGCGGCAGAAATACGAGGTGAGCTGCGTGGTCCTCCAGGAGCTTGCCCTCTGTGTGCCTGCCTGCTCTGTCTGGATGCTCCCCACCTGGGACACTGTCAGACTGATGGTGCTGTCGCAGGGAAGCCGGCTGCTTCAGGAAAGAACTGTGCCCCCCTTTTGTGCATGGGGTGACAAATATCTGAGAGGCTGTACACCACTGAAGGCAAAGCCACATCTGCCTCCCTTCTGGAGATGAGCCAGGATCAATCCAACCCTTGCAGTGGCTGCCAGCCACCCTGGCAAGGCTGAGCACACAGCTGTGAAATGCTGGAGGATGTGGCAGCTGGTGAAAGGGGCTGTGTGGTGGCCCTGTGACCTCCCAGCCCCTGGGCTTCCCGCTGTGCTGCACATCACAGCCCCATGCTAAACCCCATGCAAGAACTGCTGGGGAATAGAGAGCAGTGATGCATCTTCACTCTGACCCTTGTCCCTGGCTGGGTGTGGGGCATCTTGCCAGACCTCACCATCTGCCTGTGTTTCTCTTGCAGATCAACGTCCTCCGAAACCGTGTCAGTGATCACCAGAAAGTGTAAGTCCCTGGGCAGGCTGAGCATCCTTCCTTGATGCCTCCTGCCCTTCCAGGTGCCTGCTCCCCTGGCCCCAGTTCCCTCCCTGTGTATCTCCTGGCTCTCTTGCACCCTCACAGAGCCACCTCCTGTCCTTTCCACTCCTGCCTCTGGTCCTACTGGTACTTGCTGTTCATGGACCTGCAGGTCTGGTGCAGGGACCTCAGTCCCTTCTGCTCTTCTCCCACTGACAGACCCCCATTGCCTCTCACCTCCACCAGCTTCCCCCTGCCCCAGAGACTCCAGCTGGGGATGGGCCCCATGGAGAACCCACCCCTGCACGTGGGGCCTTATGTCCTTGTGTGGGTCCTGCCAGCCTCCAGCCACCCCCATGCCTGCAGTGACTCTGACCAGCATCTCAGGGAAGGTGCTGGAGACCCCAGCTTGTGTAGGAGGGGAAATCCCATGGGCTGCAGAAGCTGTGCAGCTCCACAAGATTAGGGGAGTCTGTCCCTGTGTCCACATTGCCTGGACAGGCCTGAGGGACCCTTCATAGGAGGGTGGAGGTGGGTGTTTAACCCCTACCCTCAGGAGCACCTTGCTGCTCTCGCATCCCCATCCCACACTGCCATCTTGCACAAGAGATGCTCAGCCTGCCCCGTGTGTCAGGTAGCAGCATCTCCCTCCTGCTTACACAAAATCTCTCTTCTCTTCTGTCCCCAAATGGCCTGCTACTGCAGCAAAGGGTGAGTACAGGCATTTTCTGGGTGCTGTGTGACTCTCACTGCACGTGTGCTGCATGGATGCCGGGGCTGACATCAGGCTTGCAGTAGGGCTGAGGGAGGAGGCAATGCCAAGGATTGCCAGCCGGAGCTGCGCTGATGACTCAGGATGAAATGCCAGAAATGACCTTCACTGTCCACCCGAGCCTCCTCCTTCCCTTGCTTTCTGCTGACCCATGCCCAGAGCAGCACCTGTTCCCCTGATGCTGGTTAAAGAGAGTGATGTGGTGGGTCCTGGCTAACAGCTTCACAGCTTCTGGTTCTTGGGAGAAGGATCCTGCAGCTGCTGTTATCCCTCCACAACTAGAGATCCAGCTCATTGGATTTCTCTGAGGGATCCTTGGAGGGAGAAACATGGGGAAGGGAATTGGGAGTCCTTAGAAACACCTGGTAAAATGCATGAGCTTTTTCCCAGAGAGTCCTAAAACACATGGACAGACTCAGGTCCCATTGACCTGGGGCCACTAATGACCTTCTTTTCCACAGGGCAGTGAGCATCAACCAGAGATGGCTCCATCCTCTTTGCAGGACTGCTGATGGCACCCACCTTGTCCCTCCTTTCATGGTCACTAATGCCTTTTTGCATGTGCTTTTCTGCTTCCCTTCCAGGTCAAAGGCTGCCCGTGGGAAGACCATGGTGGGTGGCCGGTGGAAATAGATGACTCGGAAAGGAAAAGGAGGCTCAGCCATGGAGAGATGTATTGCCTTTTGGTCAACCAGCTGGCTTCCCCACGTCGTGGAGCCTGCACCACATGTCCACCCACCCTCCCACTGCACAGAGCCTGCAAAGATGTTACTGCAGGCACAGCGCTGCTTGGGAGGGCAGATGCTTTGCAAGGTGCCATTCTCATCTCCACACCCCCAGCTGATGTTGTGTCTGTAAATAAAGAGAACGGTGAGGGGGTGAGGGTGTTGTCTCCATCCTGAAGCTCTGAGCCCAGAGGAAACAGGCACAGGACAGTCTCAGCAGAGTTTGACTGAGCAAGTACAGCTGCACACCTGCTCCCTGGGGTGTAAGAGGATGCAGCAACCATCCAGGATCTCATGAATAACATGTCTCCTTGCCTCACAGCATCTCACACCTGCAGTCCTTGGGAGATTTTGTAACCGATCTCAATGGTCTGACCAGCTTTTACTGCCGCAGTTTGGGGCAATCCTAGTTATGGCCACTTAAGTTCCTGTTTTTGCTGTACCAGAGACCCCTCACTCCCCTCTGTGTCAGGGCTGGCCCAGCGGGATAGCATGGATAGGGGCACTGCTTCCAAGCATCTTGGTCCCTGGATTAATCACATACCCTTCTTCCAGGCCATTTTCATTCCTGTTTCCACTTCTTCCTAAAAGGCCCAGACCGACTGTGTTTGGCTCCTCTGTGTGTTTCTAACAGCATGCAACAAAGACTTGAGATAAGTCAGTGTGGAGAGGCTATTTATCTGTCCTTTTCCCGGATGCACGTCTCATCTATCTGTAGGCATCTCTGTAGTATGCTCTGTTGTTAAACAGCATCCATGAGGCATTTCCCAGAGCAGTGGGGAAGGGATGGATGCACAGGATGGTGGATCTTCAAAGGCTTCTTTTCCCTTGTCAAGACATTTTGTCTCCCCTCTTGATGGGGCTGCCTGTCCTCCCCACCCCAGACCCAGTGATGTGGGGACAACCTGCAGGTTGTGCTGCCTATTGGATGAAAACTTATTTTGCCTACTTCAAGAAATGCCATCAGGTTTTGGGGAACAAGGCTCTAGGAAGCCTCAGCTTCTGTGAGGCAGCAAGTAGAAGGCAACCAACCCCCTCTTATCCTGCTCCTCAAAAACAAGGTGTGGAGGGATGAACGTGACCCCTTATTGGGACAAAAAGGGAGAGCTGGGGAGGGTGGCAGTGCTGGGACATGAAATACCTGGAGGGTGGCTGAGTGAAGGTCCAGCAAGTGACATTTCCAACCTGCCTGATGCATGGCCCCAGGAGAGAGGAATGCTTGTGGCAGAATGCTATGTCTGCTTTGGAAAAAATATATCCCCTTTTCCCAGGCTCTGAAGGTCCACCCTCAAAACCTTTCCGTCAGGCAAAGGCAGGGCCCTGCCAGTGCTGGTGCCCGGTGCTGCACAGAGGCGCTGCAGCCGCTCTGCCCGTCCCTGCGGGGCTGGCAGCGCCCAGGGTGGGGGTACAGAGGCACTCCCTGCTTCCCACAGCGCTGCCTGTCTCGGCAGCACACTGGCCCCCCGCCAGCCTGGTTCCCTGCACGCTGGGGCCGAAACCGGTGCGCTCCCTCCCGCCCAGCACCTCCCTCCCTGCGCCTGGTGCTCGGTGGCACAGGCTTGCCAGAACAGCTGAGTCAGCATCCAGCCCTACCACGGACCCACTGGTGTCTGTGGGTTTCCACAGTGAGTGGGCTGCTGCCATGCTCGGACATGGCAGAGTGTGGCACAGGATGCAGAAAACCTCTGAGACATGGCAGAGTGCTCCTGCGTCTTCTCCAGGGTCTTACAGGGTTTGGCATCGTCCCAAGTGTTGCATGGGCTGCGTGCTGATCGCAGCGGCGCAGTGTGTTGTGCCAAGGTTTGCTGGAGCGCGGTGCAGGGGGCTGTACGCTGGCGAGCAGCTCTGATGTGCAGGCTGTCCCCATCCTGCCACGCACAGCAGGTGTTTGGCAAGTGGATGAGTCTTGGGCTATCACAGGGGGCCAGGGCCCTGCCATGCTGGAGTGCGCTGCAGAGTGAGGGACCCTTGGCAGCAGCTTTTGGAGGGTTGTGCAGGGTGCTAACAACCTCACAGTGCCATGTTGTGGAGATTTGACGTGTACTAGGGTCCTGCAGCACTGCTGTGTGGTCTCAATGTCCCCATGGGCAGCAGGACCTCTGGATGCCACATCAAAGCACCAGAGTCTTCTGGAGCATGGTATGAGGGGTGGAGAGCTCTGTCCTTGCCTAGCAGGGCATCTTCCCAGGAGCTATGAGGTGTAACGTCCTCTAGAATGTTGCAAAGGAACATCATCTTCTGCCATAGCGTGCAAACATCCTCCATGTGGGTCCTTTGAGGAGCAGCCCCTTGTGCCTCACCACTCGAGCACAGCACATGAAAACAGCAACTGTTCAAGACCAATTCTGGTGACTCAGCCAATGCACCGGACAGGAATTGGGTTGTGTCCCACCCAGTCTGTGCAGTACAGGATGCTGGGATCCTTTTGGCTCCTCTACGGAGATGCTGGCAGGTGCTGCAGTGAGGCATGTGTGTTGGTGGGTGCAATGCAGGGCTCATGTCCTACAGCACGCTGTGGCACAGAGGGCCTCTGTCTTCCCCAAAGTGGTGCCAATGTCCTGGCCAGAGGTCAAAGCTCCAGAGGCTGCTGCCAACCTGGAGTACAAATTTCCCTCCTCTGGCATTCAGCACAAATGTCCCAACACTACTGCATGAGCCCAGACCCCAGCAGACCTGTGCCCAGGTCTCACAAGCACGTGCATCTCATGGTCTGTTGATGCAAATCAATCCAAGGTGCTCCTCAGGGCACCAGTGTCCCCACATGGTGGAATGGATGCAAAAGAGGATGTATTTGTTTCTCAGAAAGGGCTGATAAAAGGTTGACCCGATGTTTTGTGCTGTGATTGTGCTAAACCAGAGCTGTGTGTAAGGCACACTCAAAGCCCAGGACTATTCTCAGAGTCAAAGCCAGGCTGAACTACAGACACCAGATAGCCTGGTCCTGCCGCTACTGCTACAGACAGAAACAGCCTGCTCATGTCTTTGATCAGGCCACATTAACCAGGGATGCTCTGCATCAGATTCTATGATGGCTGTTCTGGGGCCACCTGGCCAATGAATGTCCCAAGGACCAGGGTCATGCATGTGCCCAGGCTACCAGAATTATAGTAGCCCATATTTCTGGTAGCTGCATATGTAGCTGCAGTGTGCAGTGTAGCTGCAGTGGTGCACAACCTGCAGCATTTCAGCAGCTCTTGAAGCTGAAATGCTGCCAGGGCCCAGTATGTCTCACCAGAGGGTCCACCTCTCCCTGTCACCATCAGTTTGGGGCACATGGTGAAGGATCCCCTCACCCTCACCTTGGAGACATTGCTTCCCCCATGAGGCACAACGCTAATTTTGAGGTGGCCTCATGGGCTACTGAGTGTGAGCAAGAGCAGTGTGTGGAGGAGATACAGGCAGGGACAGCGCGAGGGGTGTCAGAGTGTGCGTCGGGAGGACAGAACCTGCTCAAGGTGCTGGGCAGGCACAGGGGGTGTGGGCTGCTCCTGGGTGCAGGACAGGGAACTTGAGTCCTCTGGGGCTGGAGAGGGGGTGCCAGCACTGACAGGATAACACACACACACCAGCTTCCGTGTTGGTGGATCCTGGGTGGCACACAGCGTCCCCACTGCCCAGGCACAGCCCACCCTGGGCGATGTTTTTTGAGTGACATCCCGGGTGTTCAAGGGCAGCACAGCTCTGTAGAGCACAGAGCGGATGGTATTGGATGCCGTTGCTACAGGGAGTGGGCATTGCTCGTCCCCTGGGGTTCACTGCTTTCACCATCCATGAGCCTTAGACGCAGGTACAGAGTGGCTGCATAGCACTGATCCACAGTACCCCTGTCCCCAGGTGAAGTACAGGGGTGCCCAGCCTCGAGCTCAAGCCAAGGCCAAATGCCAACAAAAAACTGCAGAAAATGAAGCAGTACAACCTCTAATTTTTTGCAGGTCAGGTCTAACAACAGGCTGTATTTTAAAAGAGAGAAAAAAGATGTAAATGTAGAGTTTTGAAACACCTTCCAGACCTCAAGTTCTCATTTTCATATTCCCAAGCCATCGTGTTTGTGTGCCATGGCCCTCCTCAGCACACTCCCCTGCAGGGCAGGTCCATTTGTTCATGTAAGCGTCTGACGTTTGCAAGTTTTTTATGATTATTTTAAAATGCCTTATAAAACTTTAAGTTTCATTTAGTATCTTAGCTCTGTAAATCACTACCTATAGCAGCTATTTCATAGGCATCAATTAATCGCCTTTAATTGGTTAAAGTCACCCATGGTTTATGCTGATTCCACAGATGTGTTAAATCATCAGTGAAGTCTTTAATGCACCACAAGCACAGCTTAGCATCTGTGCAACGACCCATGTCCCTGAGACAAGTCCCGCTGACAAAGCAGGCAGCAGTCCTCTGGGATGGAAAGGAAGAGGCTTTAGCTGTTGTCTGGAAGCAGCATTTTATTGGCACTTAGTGGAAGGAAAATAAGCTTCCTGGTGATGTCTGAATCATTGCTTTTGCATGTGCTCTCATGCCCAGGTTTCAGCTGAAGTCCTACGTGTAAACTACGCTCTTCAGTGCAGGGCAGCAGCCACTGGCAGGAGCACTGAGACGCTGAGAACTAATGGGAGCTGGGATCAACTCTTGACCAGCAGCGGATCCATAAGGTCCATGACTGGTAAAGGTGGTGCTGCCCCATATGCCCTGACCTGGAGTGGTGCTGAGCACCAACGCTGCTGTGACGGTTTGTGGGAGCAGCAGCCCCTGCAGAGGTGGCCCTGGCAGTCACATGCAGTGCCAAGGTCAGGGGATGGCACAGATCTCAGGGAGGTTTGGAGACTGGGGGGAATTGTTCCCGCTCCTGCATCCATCTGTCAGGTTCAGCTGCACAGAACCTGCCCTCCAGAAGGGCACATGGAGACCACACTCACCCATGCTTAGCTGGTGCACAAAGCTCTGCAGCAAACAGCAAGCTGTGAGACAAAACCCGAGGCCTTTAGCAGTGTCTCCCTTGGTGTCATCTCTGGGTAAACCCACAGGAGGTGGGTCTCAGAACCCCACATCTACAGCTTTGAGGCTGGTATTTTCAGAATATTCCTGCCTCTGCTACTCTCCTGCTGCCTTTCTCCCTGCAGAGGACAGGGGCTGTGCACTCCCTGCATACAAAC